TATATTCTAAGCTATCATTCTTAGGCTAAAAGAAAAGTCATTTTCATCTTTTAATGGAGGTATGCATCGATGCATTACACCATGCATCGATGCATAAATCTTATTCGATATTTGTATTTAATGAGGTGCATCGATGCACTCCTTATGCATCGATGGCATTCGATGTTTTCTTTTTAAATTAATGCATCGATGCACTTCATGTGCATCGATGCACCTTAAACAATTTCTGGGATTTATCATTGATGCATCGGTGCACAATGAATGTGCATCGATGCACATTGCCCAGAATTGTCATTTTAGCACGGAAAACTCTTCGTAGTCTACTTAACACTTTATATTACCCCTCTTTTTATATCCTTAACTTACATACTCTTACTTAAACTACTTATTATTAATTCCATACTTTCAAAACTTAGAAATTCGATTCTCCATGTAGAGTTTAAGAATCTAACCCAAATTCCAACATGTTCTAATTTGAATTCTAACACTTCATACCTCTTAGTTAGCTTAATGACAAGTCAAATTTCACTTCTAATTCTTATTAAGAACCCTATTCCAAAATTTCACTTTTCTACTTCCTTTCTTTAATTCTTCATACACTCATCATCTTATGATTTTAAGATAATCTAAGCTTTCCTTAAGCTTAGTTATCAACTAAGGATCAATAAGAAATCTTAAATTCATCAAGAATTTGATCACAAGAAAACTCACCTTTAGCTTGACTTCACGGCAGAGAATGAGAATGAAGAAAAAAGAAATATCCAGAACCTTGTTTCTCTCATAAGCTTACCACGTGGATTTAAATATCCTTAAAAAAACATTTAATTTATTTCCTTGCCAAAAGACCCATTTGCCCCTTTAGTTCCCCATGCTTTCCTAATTGATCCTACACCAAATATTTCAATCAATTCTTTCAACTTTCAATTTATCTACTTTGATCAATAACTTTTAAAATTTCATAATTTAATCACTGACCCGGTATAGAGGATGTTACAATTTGTGTTAGAATGACTGAAAACCTTGTGATTCAAGGTTCTTGGTTAAATTATACCAAACATCCTTTTTTGGAGTATGTCTCGCATGTTTGCATTGAAACCTATTCCTATACGCGTAAAATCTTATGTATGATTTTATTAGGTGTTGATAACACAATATTCTTTCTTCTTGACATGGTGTTGTGTTTAGTGGGTGTCGGTAACATGGTATTCTTTATTCTTGACGTATTGTTGCTAACATCTAGTCTTTGCTATCTGCAAATTTCTGTGTTTGTTTTTTATGACAATATATATCTGTTAACTTTGTCTTTCATGGTGAACAATTGTTTTCACTTGGACAATTCAGGTGCTATGTTGGCTTGCAGTGCCCAAGTGATCTGTATATGCATATACGCATGTATGCATGTGGATTGTATTTTTTTTATAGAAATAGTAGGCCTCATTAAAAACCAACCTCATAGAAGTCCTTTACCCTTAGGCAAGAACCATCTAGCGGAAGAAGGAAAAGAGTACCTTAATATATTATTATTATTATTATTATTATTATTATTATTATTATTATTATTATTATTATTATTTTGATAGGAATTGAAGGCCTCGTTAAAAACCTCCTTCATGATTAAAGGAGCTTATAGAGAAGCTTCTTAATTAGCGGAAGGAGGAAAAGAGTGCCTTAGGATTTTATTAACCATAGAAAGAACACGATACAACCAGGGAGCCACCCCCAATATAAATAAAACACCAAAAACAGCCACAAACAATCCTACCAGAACCAGCCTAATCCAACAAACCAACAACAACAGCCTAAAAAACAGACTGGCTAAACTAAAAACCTAAACGTGGCCCGATAGACTCCCAATCAAACAAAACAACCATACTAAAAGCCAAAGGGTGACAACTGACTAAAACCATATAAGCCAACTTCGAACTCAAAAGCCACGGAGCTATCACATGATAAGAATACAAAAAAATACGCACATAGCTGCCTTTCCACCACATCAACTCGTCTGGTCGGCTAAGACCATCCGAACTTCCAGCTCCAAACAAAAAGCATGGTGTAGATCACCTGAAACTGCTACTCCTTCCCTCGCCAAAGTCTTCTGACAACAGATACACTACTGAGCCATTAGACTCACAACCCAAATTTTTCCCAAAAGGCAAGGAATTGATCGTATCCTTCTGTAGAGACTGCCCCAATACTGGAAAATCATATTCATATATGAATCTATCATCAATAACAGTCACCTCTTCTTCCCAATGCACCTTACTCTGATGGCTCTTGTTTTGGTAACCCCTATACTTTCTTTTGGGAGCTGTAAAATTTCCTTGAAAAAATTGTTTAGATCTATATTTGTTGCCAGAACCCACCTTAGGTCTCATGTACTACCTTGCGTTACCCTTTGGATTTATGAATGCGCAGTTGTAAGAAAAGCCATCGTGTATCCCATCCTCCACCTCCCTTGACTCAACCCGACCATCCAACATGGGGAAATCATTAAAATAATCCTTTGAGCCTACAAAAGCACATGCAAACTCACTACTTTTCCTAAAGGCAACTTCTTTCTCCCTCTCCACGTGAACCAACAGATCCACTTTATCCTTTAGGCTCACATTTTCCAATTCCCTTGACACTAAGAGACCATCCAGGATGGGAGGATTAATTAAAAAATCCTTACTCCCCTCATAACCACGTGCAGGCAAGTAAGTGTCCTTAGAGACATCCGTTGTTTCTCTCTCCTCATACACCAGCAATGTCTCGTGTTCCCCCACTCTCTCCATTTGCGAAAGAACCATCCTCTGACCCACAACGGCACTAATCGGACCCATCACCAATGCCTCGCCTAAGTTCCTGTCCTCCACACCCTCACCCGACAAGAGGCTACCTCTAGCACTAGTCCCCAAACAGCAGAGAAAATTTTCTTCATTCTCAGAACACCTCTCGGTCGACTGCACCTTCGAAGAGTGCATGGATCTTTCTACTTCTTCAAAACCCTCTTCCAGCTCTGGAAACTTAACTGCAGAGATACCAATGAGCTCCCTCACATTGGATAACGGGGATGCGACTTCCTCATCAAAAGAAGACGAGTCTACCCACTTAATAAAAATTCTGCACCATCCTACCAAGCTGTCTTTGAGAGTTGAGAGCTTACTGTCGTCAACAGAACCACCAATGGGAGCTTCCGAATTACTAACATCTTTCATTACACTGTTTCCCTCAACTGAAAAAGGACCAAAGAACTTCTTCGTCCAGAAAACATCACGAGGATGATATCTCGCCATGAAGACTCTAATTTTGTTACCTTGAATCCAAGATCTATCAACACAATTGATAGCATTCCTCGCATCCTCCAGTCTGGTGAAACGAACAAAACCAAACCTACTTCCTCCCTTGCTTCTTTTATTAGGGATGAAAGAATCCACCACCTCGCCATATTTATCAAAAAATATCCAAAGACCTTGGTAATGAAAGATCTCTGGAATGTTGAAAATGATCATTGTGACACAATTTTTCCCAACTTGAACTCTCACCTTACTCACCATCAAGAGAAATGAAAATGAATGAAAACATAAAAACTTAACTAAAACACCTGATTTTTAGAGAGGATGAGCAGTTTCTCTCACTAAACACCTTTTTTATATTTCATTTACCAACCTTAATATATTATTGATAAACCAATTACATAAGACTTAAACAATCCCCAGTTACAACTGCTCTCTAAAACACACAAAACAACTACAAACAAAACTTACAATCACCCAATCCCCTCCTTTGCTAGCTTATCAGCCTCGCAATTACAACTCCTAGGTATCAACCTTATAATCATCTCTTTATCTGAAGCAATATACACAATCTCTTTGACTAGATTTGTAAGAAAAATAGGAACCGAAGAAAGAGCTTTAATACAATCCACTGCTGATTTGCAATCACTCTCAATAATCATCCTACCTTTCAACGCCCATTATGTGGATTGTATGTAGACATGTCTATATTTGGACTGTGGTTGTTGATTCTGTGTTCACATTAAAGTAGCATTTCATGGGTTTTAGAATCAATAGTACTGGTGACTCTTCGATTGATATTGTTTATTTCTTTCAGGATATGGTTTTGGAGCTTCATTTGTTGCCCTGTTTGCCCAGTTGGGTGGTGGAATATATACAAAAGCAGCTGATGTTGGGGCAGATCTTGTTGGAAAAGTAGAACAAGGAATACCTAAAGATAATCCTAGAAACTCGGCTGTAATTACAGATTTGGTATTAAATTTTAACTTCCTCAAATTCTTTATTTGAATTGATTCTTAAGATATATAGTTAGTGCAACAACTATATTGAATTGATTCTTTTAATGAGACCTCCAATTCTTATAAAAAAAAAGAAGATATATATTTAGTCATTTTAGAGTCAGAAGTAACATGGCTTTATTCTTATATTATTTGTTTAGTTGAGTTGAAAAAGTATGTAAAGCTTGTGCATATGTCATGTAGTTTCCTGTTTTATACAAGGAATCTGGTAATTTGTGAAGTGGACTGAACACTGAAGGTTTATGGTTGTAGGAGTTGACCATATAGGTGTTTATTGAAAGAAAAATTTTAAACTGTATTTTTAAAGCAATTGTGATTCTGTTAAATGTTTAATAATGATAGCATAACTCCGTGCAAGTTATATGGGGATAAGTTTGTACTTGGCTTTGCACATAATTTGTTAAAGCCTTTCTCAGATTCAAATTTATATTTTAATTTTGTTTTGAACTCTTACTTTACCATAAAGAATTGAACCTTCTAGTTTTAGGGAAAACTGAAGTAATTTATTTAAAAGTTTTGTTACTTTAGAAAATTTTATTGGTTGAATGAAGGTGGCTGAACATATGTACTGCAAATCAATATTGGGAGAAGTGTGACCAAATTTACATCAATAATGATTCTGCTTTATCTTTATTTTTTAATATGTTTTCACTTATTTGTCTTGGTAGTTATGTTTGTTACTTAAATTTTTTTGTACTGAAGGTTAGGGACAATGTTGGTGATTATGCTGCATGAGGTGCAGATCTTTTTGAAAGCATTGCAGCTGAGATAATTAGTGCCATGATACTTGGTGGAACAATGGCTCAACGGTGTAAAATTGAAGGCGGGTTCAAGTTCTCATTTTTATGGAGTTTTAACATATTTATACTGTTGCATCTAGTGAATGCCTTGTGTTTTAACAATGACAATTGACAACTGCAAAAGTTGCATTTATTTATATTTTTAATAAATTTACCATGAACCAAGATGAAATTTAAAGGAGTGGTAACAAAATGGCGAGAGCGAGAGCACGAGAGAGCAGATATTCTGATGGCAAAGATGGAGAGGTTCTTGGAGAGGGTTCTTGGTCTGCGTTCGTTGATAATCTTAGTAGGAGAGTGAGCAAAAGAACTTTAGGGGAACATTTTAGTTATCATGGAAAAGTTATTAGGGTGTTTATTCCTTTTATTAATAACAGACCGAAATACAAGGATTGTACGTTTGCTTTTGTCCATTTTGCAAGCAAGATGGATATGTACAATGCGGTGGAGAAGATGAATAATGTCAGGATTGCCGAGAAGATAATTTTTGTATCAGTAGCCAAATATGACAAGTTATCTGAGACGAAGAGTCGTGAAGGGGCTAGTGAGGAGGGCTTCAAAAAGGTCGAAATAGGAGAGTTGAAGGGCAGAAGATTGACTTCTCCAGCACAAGGGAAAGAGAAAATGGAACGAATGAGCGAGTTCCTTGATGGAATGACTTATAGAGACACGGTGGTTGGGGTGAAAAAAGTTCCAGAGGATCATCAAATAAGCAGTCAAAGGAATACTAAGGAATAGAAGAAATCTTTGGAAGTCTTTATCCCGATAGAAAAGAGATTATGGTTGAAATCTTCACTTACTAGCATTTGCAAAGATATTTTTGAAGTAGAATTTGTGCAAAAAGCCTTACGAAATGAGGGCTTCAAAGTTAAGGTGATGAGGTGGGGATATGCGAAGAATGCGTGTCTGGTAGTGTTTCAGTCGGTTGAAGAGAGAATGATTGCAATGGAAGAAAAATGGGAAGCCCTGATGTTCTGGTTTGAAATATTAGAACCAGTGGTAGAGGAGGGGGGCATTCCATTAGTTTATTGTGCGATTTCAATGATTGGTGTCCCATTAAATTGTTGGTCGGTCCTATTCTTTTCTAGCTTAGCATCCAGATGGGGCAAGGTAGTAAAAATCCAAGATCAAACTGCACATAGAGTGGATTGCAGAGTGGCGCAGTTGTTACTAAGGGTTGAGAGTCCATATGACATTCCAGAACAGATCATCATCACTACGTATGAGAGAAAATTCATGATCAAAATTAAAGTTGATGGTGCTGAGGATTTTTTCCCAGAATTAACAGATATGGAGGTAGAAGAAGTTGCAGAGGAACCATGGGAGGAAATCTCTTCAGAGTGGAGCAAGGAAGATGTACAGAATAGGCATGAAGAGCAGGTGGGAGTACTAGAGTTGTCACAACCCCAGAATAAGATTGAGTGTTAGATTAAAAGTTCTCAACAAGGCAAAAACACAACTACCGAGGGAGGTTTGAATTTAAACATAGGTATGGAAGATACTTTTGTTTTGTGCAAAAATATGACAGAAGTAGAGGATGTCTCCATACAGCATGAAAAGTCAGAAGAAGTTAATGAAGGGAGAGAAAATGGGAAAAGTCTGGGAGGTGTTCCCATAGAGCATGAAAAAGTTGACTGCGGAAATGGGCTTATTAGGGGCCCGGATTTACATTTGAGGAGTGGGCTGGATCAAGAGGAGGAAAGATTAAGCAAGGGATGTTGTTTTGAAACAGCATAAAATAATGTTATATATTATCAAACTCCAGTGCAGGTGGGGTCTGTTTCCTTGTCTTCTCATAGAAATTCGGGGATTGTACCTGGGAGTAAAATGGGAAGGGGAAAATATAAACATGTTTATTCAAGATCTAAGTTGAGGGGAACTAGGAGCTGTTTAGGTACAAGTTCGGAATATGAATATAGAAATGAGGAGGGGGATGGGGCAGAGGCATTGGAGAGCTGGAATGTAAGTAAATTGTTAGGGATTTCATTTAGAGGGGGAAAAAAAGCTTTTATGAACAAAGCAAATTCATTGGTTAAGGGGAGAGGAGCGCATGGGGGGAATTAAGGGGTGATGGATTTCAAGGTTATGACTGGATGTAGATGACTAGTTGGAATTTACTGTCTTGGAATGTTAGAGGTTTGGGTAGGAGGATTAAGGCTAGAGCTGTAAGGAGGGTTGTTAAGGAAAGAAAGCTTGTAATTTTATTCATTCAAGAATCAAAAATGGAAGTGTTGACTCCATTGGTAGTGAGGAAAATGGGTGGAAATTTGTTGACAGCTTTGGCAGTTTCAGCAGCTGTAGGTTCTGCTGGAGGTCTGATTACTTTATGGAATGAAAAAGAGTGTAAGATTATAGAGGAAATCATTCATAGGAGGTTTGTAGTAGTTAAGGGTATTATTGATGGGTTACAAGGATCCTGTTGGTTCATAAATGTGTACGGTCCGAGTGTCGATTCAGAAAAGGAGGCATTTTTCGGGGATCTGTTATCATTCTTAGAGAATATAGACTGTTTAGTGTGTCTCGGAGGAGACTTCAATGTTGTAATGTCATAGGATGAAAAGATGGGAGGTGTAGTGAACTTAGTTACAATGTTTGCTTTCAAAGATTTTATGAGCAAAGCTAATTTACTGGATTTGCCTTTGGTTGGAGGTCGATTTACATGGTGTAACAATAGGGATATCCCAACTTATGAGAGGCATGGTCGATTCCTAGTGGATCAAAGATTTTTATCATTGTACCCTATGATAACTCAAAGACTCCTTGAAAGGTCTGTTTCAGATCATAACAGTATCTTGCTGGAAAATAGGGGCTGGAATTAGGGCCCTAAACCGTTTAAATTATTTAATTATATCTTGGAAGAAGATGGATTTTGTAGGATGATAGAGGGAGAACTGGTCAAGCTTTGTAATGTGGAGAATAGACAACCAATCTCCAGTGTACTAAAAGGAGTGCAGGATGCAGTGAAGAATTGGTCTGGGAAGGGTTATCTTGAGATCCCCGGGAGAATAAATAGGTTGGAGAAAGAAATTAAGGAGATGGAACTTAATCTGCAACAAGGTCTCTCCATGGTGTCTATTAAGAACCTAGTGGAAGCAAAGAAAGAGTTGTGGGACTTGTATAAAAAAGATGAATTGATTTGGCTTCAAAAGTCAAGATTGAAGTGGAGTTTGAATGGGGATAAGAACACTAGATTTTTCCACCAGTGTGCAAGAGGTAGAGGAAGGAGAAATGGTATCAAATCCATCAAAGTAGATAATGAAGACATCTCAGATCCAAAATTAATTAAAGCTTCGGTGGTGCACTTTTTCAAGGGGTTGTTTAATCCGGAAAATACATTGGAAGTTGAGGAGATGGACTTGGATTTTTTACAGCTATCGAATCAGCAGAGTATGGCACTCGAGAAGCCTTTTTCTGAAGAGGAAATTTGGGGTGTAATCGCTAATTCGGATTGTAATAAAGCACCTGGCCCGGATGGACTGAATTTAGGTTTTTTAAAGAAGTTTTGGTCAAGTCTGAATGAAATTTTGCTACTGTTTTTTAAAGATTTTTATGAGGGAAAGGAATGGGACATGGAAACCAATCATTCTTTCCTCTCTCTTATTCCCAAGAGGGACAATCCGGAGGGGCTTGAAGACTTTAGGCCTATTAGTCTAGTTGGGGGTTTCTACAAAATTCTCTCAAAAGTTCTGGCTAGAAGGCTAAGCTTATGCATTAATGAAGTTATTAGTCCTTCACAGTTCACTTTTATACCGGGGAGGCACATTTTAGATTGCTCGTTTATAACAAATGAAGGCATTGATTGTTGGAGGAAAAAAGGATTGAAGGGAGTTGTTTTTAAGGTGGATTTCAAAAGAGCTTTCGATACGGCTGATTGGAGAATCTTGCTGAAAATAATGAGTAAAATGGGGTTTGGAGCTAGATGGAGTTCTTTGATGTACAAGTGTGTTTCAACAGCTTCCATTTCAGTTTTGGTAAATGGCACACCTACGGAGAAAATTCACATTACTAGAGGGCTAAGGCAGGGCTGCTCGTTATCCCCTTTGTTGTTCAATTTGAGAGGGGAATTGCTACATTTAATGTTGGTAAAAGCAGTGAATAAGGGGCTGTTTTCGGGTTTTGAATTAGGCTCTAATGAACGTTCTTTCATGTTATCTCATTTGCAATTTGCGGATGATTTAATAATTTTTAGTAAGGCTTCTATTCATGATTTGGTGAATATTAGAAGGGTACTTTTAATTTATGAACTGATGGTGGGTTTGAAGTTGAATCTGTCTAAGAGCAGAATTTTTGGAATTAATGTGGGGGAGGAGGAACTAGTTTCATGGGCAAATGAAATAGGGTGCATAAGGGGAGTTTTTCCTTCGGAGTACTTAGGTCTTCCATTGGGGGTCAAGAGGAATTCTTTTTCCCTGTGGGAACCGGTTGTACAAAAATTTTATAATAATTTGGCTGGTTGGAAGGCCAAGTCTTTATCTCTGGCTGGAAGGGCTGTCTTGGTCAAATCAGTGTTGTGCTCTATTCCAATCCACTATCTTTCTATTTTTCGGATCCCTATTAGTGTTCTCAACAAACTAAACTCTATCATGGCATCGTTTCTATGGGGGGATCATCAGATAAAAAGAACATTTATTGGATCAAGTGGGATTTGGTGTGTAAGCCAAAGAATTTGGGGGGTTTAGGGATTCCGAATCTGCTGCTATTAAACATGGCTCTTATGGGGAAATGGGTGTGGAAATTTGCTGCAGAGAAAAATTCTTGATGGAAATCAGTTGTGTTGTGTTTACAATATGGATCCTAATTCTTTGATGATCCGGAATACTTGGACAACTCGTAGTTCTTGGATTTGGAGAGGAGTTGTTAAGAACTTCTTTTCAAGTGATGCATTTGGAGACTGTTTTAGGAGAAATTTGTGTGTTAGGGCTGGAAATGGAGAAACTGTTCAGTTTTGGTATGATGTTTGGTTGGGTTCGACTCCTCTAAAAGATAGGTTTCCAAGGTTATTTGCTCTTTCGAATAACAAAGAGGGTAAGGTAGCAGAATTCAGATTGCACAATGATTCGGGTTGGGTTTGGGATATTCAAATAAGAAGGAATTTGGTGGATTGGGAGGTTGAGCAGTGGCTGCAAATTATCTCTCTGTTGAATAGCTCTTCTTTGTCTCTAGTAGAGGAAGATTGTTGGATTTGGTTGGGAAATGGAGAGGGTTGTTTTACAGCAAAATCATGCATGAAGACCTATTTTGATAGAGAGGGTATTGATCAATTAGAAAGTAATTTGGAACGATATGTTTGGAAAGGAGTAGCTCCACCACGTGTGGAATCCTTTGTTTGGCAACTTGCTCATCATAGAGTTGCGGTGAAAGAGGAATTGCTGAAGAGAGGAGTTTCTGGGGTTGAAGACTCTGTCTGCCCTTTGTGCATGAAGTACAATGAGTCGGTCACTCATTTTTTTCTTCACTGTGAAGTGGTATGGGTTTTGTGGGCTAAGTTTTTAAAGTTTTGGAATGTTTTCTTTGTGGTTCCTGGTTCGGTGATGGACTTCCTAATTGCCTGGGATGACTTAGTGCCGTGATCCAATATATGGAAGTTTATTTCAAGAGCAGTGTTGTGGTCTGTTTGGAAATGTAGGAATGAGGTGATTTTCCAGAATGGGAAGGTTGATTCAGCGCTGTTGTTCTTCATTTCACGTTTCAGAACTGTTTCTTGGTTTGAAACATCAGTTAAGGATGTTCATTTTCATTTTGATTCCTTGATGGGGGATTTAAAACTAGTTGATCAACATGTCAATCTGAATAAGATGTATATTCCTTCTTCTAGGTGGAGTCCTCCTCCGATAGGGTTCTTAAAAGTTAATGTTGATGGTGCAATGGTCAAAGGTTGGGATAAGAGTGGAATAGGTGGCTTGACTAGAGATGGCAGCAGGATGGTGCTTGGGTCTTTTTCAGAGAAGGTAGGGGGAGGTCCTCCCTTACTTGCAGAGCTTTTGGCGATCAAGAGAGGGTTGATTTTTATTGAGGAAGTTGAAGCTGATTTCTTTTCAAATCAGAGGATTATTTTGGAATCGGATTCTTCTAATGCTCTGAAATGGATTAATAATCCGAACCTTAGTTCTACTATTTTTCATTCCTTGGTAAGGGATATAGCTTCTACTGTGGAGAGGAAGGGTATCATCACAAGGCTCATCTCGAGAGCAGCAAATTGGGAAGCGGATGAATTAGCTAAAGCTGGTATAGGCTGAACTTACGTTTTGTGTAATGGTTAAGGTGTTATGCCTTGGTAGTTCCTATTTAGGAGTTTCAGGGTGTGTTTTGTTTTCAGATTTATGGTTTTCTGTTTTGTAAGAAGTTGTTAGCTGTTGAGGTGTGGAGGTGTATTATTGTTCTAATTAATAAAAGTTAGAGGCACTCTTTTCCTCCTTCCAATGTCCTTCATGTTATGTTTGTAACATGTAGGATAAGAAGGGGGGTTTTAATGAGGCTTTATTTTATCAAAAAAAATGAAAGTTAAAGTATTCCTGACCAGTAAAAGACACAAAAATCTGCAGTTTGTTGAGATAAAGAGAAACTTCTTGTGTCCTGATGTTTCATTCTGTTAAGTGTAATTAATCAAGGTTTTAAAGAGGGTTGTAACAGTTTTCAAGTAGTGTTATTTGACTGTTACCTAATGCTGGAGAGAGAAAAAATAGAATATATCTCTAACTGGAAGTAATCAGGAATCTCTAGTCTTGATTACTAATTTTTACATCTGTAGTTTTCAGATCCACCTTGTTGACAAACATGTATGCAGAAGTGTGCATCCAGTATGGTGAACTAAGCTTGTTGGTTATGAGAGTGTTTCCATTGGCTGTAGTTATATTAAAGGTTCAGACCTGGAAAAACGTAAATAAGAGAGCTTGAAAAATATTTCCTGTTCAGTTGCTAGTTTGGTGGTTGTTTCATTTTATTTTCCTTTGACATTAGCATATTCATTATGTCGAGAGTGTACTTTTGGTGTTGACTCATCTTCGATATTCTTGCAGACCCATCTGGCTTCATCCTGTTTCCTCTTGTTGTGCACTCATTTGACCTGGTTGTATCATCGATTGGAATATTTTCAATTAGGGGTACACGTGATTCCAGTGTGAAAGTTCCATTAGAGGATCCAATGACAATCCTTCAGAGAGGATACTCTGTTACAATAGTTTTGGCTGTTCTAACGTTTGCTGGAGTAATATATCTTCTGAAATATTGCCATTTATATTTCTCTTTACTGGTTGACAGCTCATTCAGGACTTGTTTCTTTTCTGAAATTGTTGCAGTCAACTCGGTGGTTGCTTTATACTGAGCAAGCACCTTCTGCATGGTTCAACTTTTCCTTGTGTGGGTTAGTTGGTATTATTACAGCATATATTTTCGTCTGGATAACCAAATATTACACCGACTACAAGCATGAGCCTGTACGCACATTAGCTCTTTCTAGCTCTACGGGACATGGGACTAACATTATTGCTGGAGTCAGTTTGGGCCTGGAATCGACAGCACTTTCTGTTCTTGTGATAAGTATATCTATTATTTCTGCTTTTTGGCTGGGTCGCACCTCAGGGCTTGTGGATGAAACAGAAAGCCCAACTGGTGGGTTGTTTGGAACTGCTGTAGCAACAATGGGAATGCTCAGCACCGCGGCCTATATTCTAACCATGGATATTGTCGTAACCGGTTTTTTTCCGGGCACGAATTTTTTACTTGGTGGGAAAAGTGATGTTAATAAATGGTTTTTTTTAAATAATTTGGGAGTCGTCATCGGCCTTTTGGGTTAGGTAGGTCAAATACCTAAAAATTATCTTTTAAAAGAGTTTTAAGAAAACATCAGTTAAAAGATGAACTGATCTGCGTTTATAACTAAAAATTGGTACTTTTTAATTATAAATTGCCTCTAGTAATAGAATTTAAGAATTCAAATATTTAATTTATAATCCTGTTATTTCAAATTTATTACTATAATTTTTAAGAAAATCTATTAATTTATATATATTTATAAGTAAAATATTTATTTATTTAGAAATATCAGAAAATGACTTCTAGGTGCCTTAAGACAGTTCTTTTCTTCGATATTAAATATTAACAATATAATAATTTAAATAAAATTAAATTATAATTTTTTATAATATTTAATTTTAAAATACCATAATAGGACATCCAGTTGTATTAAGACTGCCCTTTTCTTTAATATTGAAAAAAATAAATATTAAAATATGATAAAAAAATAATTTATGTAAGATCAAATTAAGATTTAAAATAAATTATTATTTATTATATATATATATTATTTATATGACTATATAAAAATAATATTTAAATATATAAACAAGTAAAATTAAAACATAAATAAACAATAATAAAAATAAAATTAGAACTATATATTTAAAAGCAGTAAAACTTTATAATAAATGAAAATATTTAAAATTAGTGACTAAATTATAATCTAATAAACCTAATTCGTGATTAATTATTTAAAATTACAGGGATTAAACATGCTATTCTCCTTATTTATTAATTTGGTGACTAAAATAAAATTATATAAAATTCATATATCAAATTAAAATAAATTGAAATATGCTGTTCAGGGTTTAAAATATCAATTATTAAAATTAAAGGACTAAATATGATATTTATCCTAAATATATTATTTTAATATAAAGGACTAAAATAAATAAAATTAAAATTAAAGAACCGAAATAAAAGGATTATAAATTGATTTAGTGACTAAAATGTAAGGATTGCAAATTAGGATGGCTGTGGAAATGGTTTAACTTTTAGTTAATTACAGACAGACCCCTCCCCAAAACGGCGTCGTTTGGGGAGGGCTATTTAAACCCCTAATCGGCTGGCCCGAAGGGCCAGCTCTCATTTCTCACTTTCACTCTCTCTCTCTTCTCTGAGAGAGTTTAAAACTCTCTCGCTTCTCTCTAAAACAGAGAGAATGGCACCGGCCGGCAGCCGTTCGCCGGCGTTAACCCCGCCGCCGGCCACCGTATCCGGTGGTCGGAATTTTTTTTATACCTAAATATAGATCGGACCATCCTATTGATGGTTCCGATGACCGTTTCCCTTAAAACACTCCCGATCGGAGCAAATCTACGAAAATACCTTCGGTTTTCGAAGGTTTCCGATGACGTGTGAAGGCTCCGGTGATGTTGCAGCTTCCTCAGTAAGTATCTCTCCGTCTTTTCCTTGCTTATTTTGGTGTTTGTGGTTGTTGGTTTGCTTGCCCTCTCTTCGTTTCTATCTCTGTTCTTTTTTTTCCTCTGTTCTCCATCTCTCCTCTTTGTTTTGCAGGATCCGATGGCTTTTATAGCCACCACCGGTGATGGCTTCAGACCGGTCTAGAGGATGAAAGCCTTGGTGAGTCACCAAAGCTATGCTGGTGACTCACAGTAGTGTCTTGACGTTGATGGGACAGCTGGCTCTCTGGAAAGCTTGGTGAAGGCTTGGCGTGGCATCAACAGCGTCGGCAGCAGTTGTTTGGACCACTTGGCGGTGGAGACGGCGTCTGGACGAGGCACCTGGCAGAAGACAGTCGGTGGGTTTGGTTAGCTTCAGGGGCGGCGCCACGTGGTCCCTAGGGTTATGATAACCCTAGGGTTTCTTGATGGAGCATATGGGGACCGTTGGATCAAGGACAGATTGTAACACCCCCAACCCGTATCCAACCCGGATACGAGTCCGAAGTGTCACATTGACTTTTCAAACCTTGACTCTTAAGAAAAATCCCGGGAAATTTAAAACTTTATTTAAAACAAAATACAGACTTTATCAGAGTGCTCGTACTTAATGACTTATTACATGCCAACACTTTATACATAACCAAAAACATACTTTATCAAATATTTCTGATCTGATCTTTTGGTAAGGAAAACTGACCTGTCTTGCTCCGCAACACTCCTTACTCTTCTCGAAACCTACGTGTGAAACAATCACACGCTAAGTCGAAGACTTAGTGAGGCATAACAACTTATAATGCACTTTAAAACCTATATTGATACATATTCTCAAACTCTTCTTATCAATCCTCAGCTTTATTTAAATATACCAATTATTCTTCCTTTTTCCTTTACTATACCACATTACTATGATCCAAATATGCAACTGTATCCAGATCCATTGCAGATCTGGTTATTATATCCTGAAAATATCTTATAATCTTATAATTCCAGTACATTTTTATCACATACTCTAGTTAGCCAATGCTAACTCTTTCCATCTTAACTGCAAACCCTTATCATAAACATACTCTTGTTTATGCGCAATATTATCACTTCGTTCCAAACTCATAAGCTCTGACATATACATCTTATACGCTTGTCACTGATGCACTTATCCTTGAGTTCTTCTATACGTAATCATCACGTCATTAGATCTTTTTAACATTCTTATGGTGACACACGTTCACCATATTCTATCTTATTCACATAATAGCAAAACTACTCTACATCGTTTTTTTTTTCCGATTCCAAACGATGAAAATTTTCTATCATTATTCAGATATGATTTCAGCTTTCTGAAATCAACTTTTGATCTTACTAGGCATTTCCTGAGGTGTCCGCTCTTCATCCTGCCTGGCCAGGGCAAGTGAATAGCTATCACTATCAGGAATATCACCTTTCACTTACTTCGAAATTATCACGATCGGATTTCTACTGTATTAAACTATTCTTATTTTATTAGCAAGACAACGTATTCCTTACACTATCAGATCAGAAATTTTTCAATCTATGTTGGCATGTACACCTTTTATGACACTTTGGACTTCGGTTTATGCCGAGAATCGGCTAAACCATAGCTCTGATACCATTAAATGTAACACCCCCAACCCGTATCCAACCCGGATACGAGTCCGAAGTGTCACATTGACTTTTCAAACCTTGACTCTTAAGAAAAATCCCGGGAAATTTAAAACTTTATTTAAAACAAAATACAGACTTTATCAGAGTGATCGTACTTAATGACTTATTACATGCCAACACTTTATACATAACCAAAAACATACTTTATCAAATATTTCTGATCTGATCTTTTGGTAAGGAAAACTGACCTGTCTTGCTCCGCAACACTCCTTACTCTTCTCGAAACCTACGTGTGAAACAATCACACGCTAAGTCGAAGACTTAGTGAGGCATAACAACTTATAATGCACTTTAAAACCTATATTGATACATGTATGTTCTGCTCTATCATGTTACAGCAACTTCATGCATTTTTCATATCGTATAAAATCATATCAGATTAATGGCAGTAAATACATGCATACACATAATTCATCATTAACAGTTTATCATATAATCACATACTATTTCAATCAAACACTATACACACACAACATCATATCATTTCTATAGCATTTATCATACCACTAACTTCTATTTGTTCATATCTCTGGATTAGCCCATGTACATATGTGAGAACTATCGATATGTGAGTCTATAGAGGTTGTGCACTATGCTGTCACCACAGCTCGTATAAATGCACCGAAGTGCCCCGTAGAATTGCACCGAAGTGCCCGTAGAATTGCACCGAAGTGCCCGTAGAATTGCACCGTAGTGCCATATAATGATGTCCATAAGGACCACGTAGAATTCCTTAAGAATCATATACATATACTATGGATCAAGTATGTGTCTTTCAAGACTTCACACAGGTTCCAAAGGATATACATATGTCCTAAAGAACCGAGTAAACCCTCGACTCTTGGCATGCCAACTATACCCCTAGCTCTCATGACACATAACATGGGCGTTATCATTTATTTCATTTCAAATATACACATAAACTTGTAATTCACTTTCACATATTACGTATCACATAGCTTCTTTTCATATGATCACATAGTCACGTAGTTCACTTACCCGTAGATCATTTCCATATAATTCACATGTCACATATGTCATGTTTTCATATAATTTCTATCATTTCTCACCCAATCAACTGTATTCATGTAAACATACTTATCATATCTTGTTCACATAAGATCATATACTTCATATAATATATCGAAACACCTAGAACATTTTCACGTAGCTTATAGTCATAGGTTTTGTCTCGTAACATATACTTGTTTTCACATATATATTTCCTATCAATTCTTATACCATCACATATTTCCTTTAACATACATAACATATCATGTAACATTATAATAGAAATACTTATAAGTCATATCACTTAAAGCACATATACTTATAGTCACATTGCTTATATCTTAATCTTATGCCTTCTCTTAAACATATATATATATATATATATATCCTCAAGATTATCCTAATATAAATCATATAGCACTCTTATATTTCGTATTCA